CTGTTCGAGTTATTTAACGATTAAACTATTATCCAATCATCTAGCAACTATGTTGTCAAAAATATTACCCAATAATCTGTTCGAGTTATTTCAAAATTAAATATTATCCAATCAATCTGCACATGTTGTCAAAACTATTACCCAATAATCTGTTCGAGTTATTTCAAAAATTAAATATTATCCAATCATCTGCACATGTTGTCAAAAATATTACCCAATAATCTGTTCGAGTTATTTAAAAATTAAATATTATCCAATCATCTGCACATGTTGTCAAAAATATTCCTCAGTAACCTGTATGAATTATTCCAATTTCACAAGGTGCCATATCTCCATTAAGTTACAATTTAGTTTTGAAATTACATAGTACCAATTATCAACGGGTTTTGAGTCCCATACGTATTATAATAGGCCTAACTGTATTTCTTTGGATTGCTGACCCTAGCTGTGCTGATGAGCCTTGAATAGGTGAAACTACAGTCCACACGGCAAATCAAATAATGCATTAGGCCTATTATACGTTAATTTCACCCCTGGTGAAAAAGAATAGAAATATCTAACATATATATATATATATTAGCAATGCTTAATTTCACACGTGTATAAACATACGCTGGTAATTTCCACAATGAAAGTGGAGAATGAATTCTAACATGGATAGTCTTTTATCTTGAAATAAAACTTCGCTTCAAAGCAAGGTATATTTGTACGAGAGCTGTAGTACGACGTCACAATTCCGAAATAAAAAACAACATTCCTAAAAGATTTTTGTGAAAGAACAACTGCTAAACTCCAGCGTTTCTTTTCGATATAAATACTGGAAATAGTTGATTTACAAAAGCATGGCCGAGTAAGCCCATAACTATAAATGTTTACGAACAACTGAACTGAAAATGAACGCGTTCGTTTCGAAAATCGTTTCGCGAAGATTCAATATAATAGTATTACACTTTGATGAAAATCATTTTGTGTGTGGTAACAGGCTGCAAATCATGGCATTACACCTTAACAAAAGTATTATAAAGTAATAAATCGCTCTATAATGTTCTGGAAACATGCTTGTAAAGGTAATGCACAGTGGTTCGTTGAGTCAACTCCCATGGGGCTTTGGGTGCACGTGAACCTGATCCAACTAGTATTATAGGTATTAGCACTCGTGGTAACGATTTTTTGTTATAAGGTTGTGTGATGGAAAACAGTGTTTATAATGCTTTTTTATATATATTCGTGCAACAAATTTTATTTCAACGTTCCGTGATGGAGAACGATGCAACACATTTTATTTCAACGTTCTGTGACGGAGAACGGTGCAACAAATTTTATTTCAACGTTCCGTGATGGAGAACGATGCAACACATTTTATTTCAACGTTCCGTGATGGAGAACGGTGCAACAAATTTTATTTCAACGTTCCGTGATGGAGAACGATGCAACACATTTTATTTCAACGTTCCGTGATGGAGAACGATGCAACACATTTTATTTCAACGTTCTGTGACGGAGAACGGTGCAACACATTTTATTTCAACGTTCCGTGATGGAGAACGGTGCAACAAATTTTATTTCAACGTTATGTGACGGAGAACGATGCAACACATTTTATTTCAACGTTCTGTGATGGAGAACGGTGCAACAGTCTTATTAGAATGTCTTAGTGTAGATATTACAACTTTGTAAGGTGGACAACAGCTCTACAGTTTTACTTTAGGTATTGATGTATCATACTTTTATTTTAACATTATGGTGTAAGTAATTGTACTGCAAATCCAGCCATATAGTTAACATTATGGTGTAATTAATTGTACTGCAAATGCAGCCATATAGTTAACATTATGGTGTAATTAATTGTACTGCAAATGCAGCCATATAGTTAACATTAGGGTGTAATTAATTGTACTGCAAATGCAGCCATATAGTTAACATTATGGTGTAATTAATTGTACTGCAAATGCAGCCATATAGTTAACATTATGGTGTAATTAATTGTACTGCAAATGCAGCCATATAGTTAGAATTATGGTGTAATTAATTGTACTTCAAATGCAGCCATATAGTTAACATTATGGTGTAATTAATTGTACTGCAAATGCAGCCATATAGTTAACATTATGGTGTAATTAATTGTACTGCAAATGCAACCATATAGTTAACATTATGGTGTAATTAATTGTACTTCAAATGCAGCCATATACTTAACATTATGGTGTAATTAATTGTACTGCAAATGTAGCCATATAGTCAGAATCAAAACTCACTGTATACTTCAGAAAACATTAAGACATACTTCAAATGACTGTTTTTTGTCTCTGATCTCGTTGAGTGACGAGACCACTGCCTAACAAGCAATGACGTAGACATGACTGTCTGAAAGGGTCAAGATACCGAACGTGCTTACCGTAAGACCAGGCGCAACGAACATACGGATAACGGCGGAGAAAAAAGATGCCGCTCTCTACACAGAATCACTCGCGTCGTTGAATGAAGACAACAGCGGCCTTTACCGGGTAGCTCGGGCGTCCCGGAGCGGCGACAGCGGGTCTGTTCGCGACAGAAGGATGACCACCCCTCTCCTCGAGATTCCTCGTACGAGTCTCATAATCTCCTGTCTCTTACTATCTAATGACGAATGGTCATTTGGAATACGTGTGACAAATATCCTGTTTTACAGTAACCTAAACAACTTGTTCTCCCGCCTAGATAACGTCATGCATTCACGAGCAAACATACACCCACACGCACGGGCACACATTTACTAATAACTAGCTAGGTCTGTGCGGAAATTGAAGAAAAGTTGAATACTAAATTACATCAACCACGTTTAGCATCGTCGGTTCCACTTAGATATGGGAGCCACACGTAATAGCTATAGCTTTAGCATATTGTCTCCCTCTAGCGGCCTAAAGAATTTACGTTGTCCTCTTTTTCTTAGTGGACAAGTTCACAATTTCAGTTGTTATATTGTTGTCTGTTTTAAATAAATTAACCTTCTTATCAGTTCATATAGTCTTATCATCAACAGAAGTCTACCTTGATATCACTAACCTGTTGTCTGTCTTAATTAAATTAACCATCCTATCAGTTCATATAGTCCTATCGTCAACAGAAGTCTACCTTGATATCACTAACCTGTTGTCTGTCTTAAATAAATTAACCTTCCTATCAGTTCATGTAGACTTTTATCGTCAACAAAAGTCTACCTTGATATCGCTAACCTGTTGTCTGTCTTAAATAAATTAACCTTCCTATCAGTTCATGTAGTCCTATCGTCAACAAAAGTCTACCTTGATATCACTAACCTGTTGTCTGTCTTAAATAAATTAACCTTCCTATCAGTTCATATAGTCTTATCGTCAACAGAAGTTTACTTTGATATCACTAACCTGTTGTCTGTCTTAATTAAATTAACCTTCCTATCAGTTCATGCAGTCCTATCGTCAACAGAAGTCTACCTTGATATCACTAACCTGTTGTCTGTCTTAAATAAATTAACCTTCCTATCAGTTCATGTAGTCCTATCGTCAACAAAAGTCTACCCTGACATCAGTAACTTTTTCTCTGTTCTTAAATCAGTTAATATGTTTATCTGTTCGTACATTCCTATCACTATCTTATATTAAGTAAGTCAAACACTATTCTTATCTGTTCATAAGTTCTTGTCATCAATAAAACTTTATCTATACATCACTGACCTTTTCGTTTTGATAAGCTGTTACGGCAATAAACTCGGTCTCTTTAAAGACGTACGTACGGAACGTACTGTACGGCAGCTTCAAGATGTCGTTAGCACGTACAAGGTGAAACCTGGGCTGGTATTTGTGCATGGAGTTCAGAATGGACTGAAAAAAAAAAGCGTAAATAAATTGTTACAGCTGGTTAACCTTTATTAGATCGAAAAATGTTGTTCGTAAAGTACGAATCACTCTCACCTTCTTCCAAAACACGCATCTCTGTTTAGTGATAAGTGTAAGAATCATTAAGATACATAGAATAATGAGTGGGCTTTTCGTAGAAGTTTATTAGTGGCGTAAGCGTAATATTGTTGCACACGTTTATTCTACATAACAATAAATAATACAATTAATATAATTGTCAGTATTGTTGCACACGTTTATTCTATAGAATAAAACTTTCATACAGTCAATAGAATTGTCAGTATTGTTGCACACGTTTATTCTATAGAATAAAACTTTCATACAGTCCTTAGAATTGTCAGTATTGTTGCACACGTTTATTCTATAAAATAAAACTTTCATACAGTCAATAGAATTATTAGTATTGTTGCACACGTTTATTCTATAAAATAAAACTTTTATACAGTTAATAGAATTGTCAGTATTGTTGCACACGTTTATTCTATAGAATAAAACTTTTATACAGTCAATAGAATTGTCAGTATTGTTGCACACGTTTATTCTATAGAATAAAACTTTTATACAGTTAATAGAATTGTCAGTATTGTTGCACACGTTTATTCTATAGAATAAAACTTTCATACAGTCCTTAGAATTGTCAGTATTGTTGCACACGTTTATTCTATAGAATAAAACTTTCATACAGTCAATAGAATTGTCAGTATTGTTGCACACGTTTATTCTATAGAATAAAACTTTCATACAGTCAATAGAATTGTCAGTATTGTTGCACACGTTTATTCTATAGAATAAAACTTTCATACAGTCAATAGAATTGTCAGTATTGTTGCACACGTTTATTCTATAAAATAAAACTTTCATACAGTCAATAGAATTGTCAGTATTGTTGTACACGTTTATTCTATAGAACAAAACTTTCATACAGTCAATATAATTGTTAGTATTGTTGCACACGTTTATTCTATAGAATAAAACTTTCATACAGTCAATAGAATTGTCAGTATTGTTGTACACGTTTATTCTATAGAACAAAACTTTCATACAGTCAATAGAATTGTTAGTATTGTTGCACACGTTTATTCTATAGAATAAAACTTTCATACAGTTAATAGAATGGTCAGTATTGTTGCACACGTTTATTCTATAAAATAAAACTTTCATACAGTTAATAGAATTGTTAGTATTGTTGCACACGTTTATTCTATAAAATAAAACTTTCATACAGTCAATAGAATTATTAGTATTGTTGCACACGTTTATTCTATAAAATAAAACTTTCATACAGTCAATAGAATTGTCAGTATTGTTGCACACGTTTATTCCACACATCCAAACTGTTATCCAGTAAGTAGAACGTCTAAGACTTGTTAGCATAGATCTTAAGTAATAGATATATCCCTGTGTATAACTGTTGTTTTTCTCCGCCATTTGAAAGTCATATGTTCTGTTAATTGACAGAGTTAAGCCTAAGTTGCGGAAAAAAACCGTACTAGAGTAAACTAATGCGTCTAATCACGGGTTCCATTTCAGAAAGGTCAACGCGACCTTAAGTACTCAAATTATTTTGTTTCGGTACATAATCTATACACGGCTGACGGTTCACTTTTTCATTATTTTTTTCATTCTCTGCATATTCTTCGTACGGAGATGGTGCTGTCGCCTAGTGGCAGTTTTCTTAATTTTTGGATATAATCACAGATATATATTTTATTTTGGTCTTTGAGTCGTGTTTCATACACTAATTGACTTTCTTCTGCATAGTTAAACCTAAAACTGTCGCTATTGTAAGATTTTTCTGGATGTCTCTCGTGGCTCTTGCAATTGTAATTTTTGTAGTATAAGAGGAAACACACACACACACAATATAGAGTAGAACCGAATTTCCCGTTTTAACTCTTGTGCCATTATCGGGTTACATCAGCGCTAGTTGTGAAGGGACGTTATTGCATTTTCTTCATATTTTACGATCAAAAATGACTATAAAAGCATCTTGTTGGTTTCACGCAAGGCCAAAACGACTTCGAATAGTAGTGAAGCATCGAGAAGGAGGAGTTGACGGCCGACACAGTTTTTACCGATGTCCGCGAGGGCCCGATCATTACGGTAAAAGTAAGCTTGAAAGTTTATTGGTGGATTTAGTCCCAGCCACGCGGAAGGAACATAATACGAGAGTAGAGCACGAGGAGTCGACAGATGGCTCTTTTCTCAAACTTTAAATGTATAATTCAAGCTTTGATGCACCATCTATGTGATATGTGTGCGTATGTAAAGCACTTATGCTGAATATTTTACGTTCATCGGTTAACTCACAGTTTAAATCTAAGATTTCTTGAAAATCGATACTTTTCTTCAAAGAAAAAAGACAAAACAAAAACGTACCAAGCCAAAGGAAGATTAGGACATTGATAATTGGCCATAATATATCTTCATATGTTTGTTTTGAGTTTCGCGCAAAGCTACACGAGGGCTATCTGCGCTAACCGTCCCTAATTTAGAAGTGTAAGACTAGAGGGAAGACAGCTAGTCATCACCGCCAACTCTTGGGCTACTATTTTACCAACGAATAGTTGAATTGACCGTCACATTATAACGCCCCCACGGCTGAAAGGGCGAGCATGTTTGGTGGGACGGGGATTCGAACCCGCGACCCTCAGTTTACGAGTTGAGCGCCGGACCATCTTCATATGCTGGACAATGTTTGCTTTTGATATTATACGAATTATTTATCTATAATTTTACAATTTTTCACATGGAGGGCATCTCGTTTATATATTCCAAAATTCTGCTCTTTCTTTTGTTTTCACGATAAAATACTGGTCATGCTTACACACTTTAAAATAATAATTAGACGAAAGTCGAAACATATATTTAAACATTTTTTATAACATACCTCATCAGTAAACTACTGTTAACTAAACATTACTTCATTGTTTCTCTGTCTTTTATAGCAAAGTCACACCGCCAGGTGGTCAGGGCCCTTGACTGGCAATCGGATCCCCGTCTCAACAAACATGCTCGCCCTTTCAGCCGTGGAGGCATTATAATGTGACGGTCAATCCAACTATTCGTTGGTAAAAGAGCAGCCCAAGAGTTGGCGGTAGGTGGTGATGACTAGCTGCCTTCCCTCTAGACTTTCACTGCTAAATTAGGGACACCTAACACAGATAGCTTTGCGCGAACTTCAAAACAAACCCAAACCCACTACACGTTAAAATAAAGCTTTTACTAAACCTGCAAATTCGGTTAATTTGAAACGAATCATCTTTAATAATATCATTATAACCATCTAATTCAATACTTTATAATTCAGCAAGCTCAGTTTTTTCTTTGAGTTCGTGAAGAGAAAAATAGTAAAATTAGTTTTGATTTATGTCAAGAATTATTTATAAACAAACAGCTGCTTTCTTAAAAAGTTGAATAATTATGTTCACTTACTAGCTTCATTTTGAGTATTTTTTATAACAAGTTACAGCTTTTACAGTAAGAAATACTTTTTTAGAACAGGTACGACGTTTTGTTCACTGGTGCGACCATTCTCTAGTAAAAACCGTTAAAACTTGGGCGCTTGAGATCGATTGCACCAGTGATCGAAACGTCGTACCTGTTTTTTTTTTTTAATATTCTTCCTTGCTGTAAACGCTTTAACTTGCAATAAAAAAATTCGTTTCACTGTTATAAACACACATATTAGGCCTAACTCACTGTTAGTACCAGTTAGGTAGTTTCTCTTGATTATATATATCACCGACTTTATTAAGCCTAACTCAAACTACCAGTGAGTTAGGCTTAATAAAATCGGTGATATAATGAACACAATGTTTCAGATTCCGTTTGTATAATCTAGAAGTAAAAATTACAGTTATTTTTGGCGTCCATAATGTTGGCCTAATTAATCTTTTCTAGCCTCGAGGGTTATATATTACATTTAAAAAATGCTATTTTTTACATATCACAGTAGATACTTACGTATCCATGTTTATCCGAAATATTGTTGGTCAGTTTCAGTTTGTGGAAGGACACCACTTTCTGCATCCACTGTTCCCCCGTGCTTGGAGAGTCTGGATGGATGTACATTCCTTTCGGCATCTCGGGGTCAGCTTTGCCGGCCACTACCCACCGCCGATTATGAAATTTGTAGCGACACTCGTCAGATGCAACGATATCCATTAACATAATATACTTGGCCTTTTTGTCGAGTCCAGACATCCTCACTTTGAATGCAGGAAACATCCGCCTGGTAGCAAAGAAATAAAAATTCAAAGATATTTATATTTCCATTTGTACAGTTATAAAATTTTAATGCTATTATAGCTGTATATTAGTTTGATAACCACTTGCAGCTGGTACCTAAAATACGTAAAATTGGTAATTAAAAAATAACAGTGAGGATTTTCGAAAATGTAAATTAGGGTACTGGTGCAAAGATTTGGGTGATTTTGAAGCATAAACACAGCAGGCGGACAAGCATTCATAAAATAGAATAACCAAGATACGATTCTATATAAAAATAAGTACGCTTGCGTAGTCATAAGAAAGACATAATGCATGGACGTCTTTTGATAAGACAGAAAAAAAAATAACCCGAAAATTCACAAAACCATCAGTACAGAAAATGCAGTTGGACTTGAAAATATTGGACAACCAAACAAGTACAGAGTAAAACAAACAACTAACCGCGGTTTTAAACTATATTATGTACAAGAAGTTAAACTAACAAACACAACAAGAACACCCGTTTGAAAGGCTCAACTTTATTTTTAACATTAACATTTCCGATTAGGGTGGATAATTTTTTTAGATGTAGAAATATATATATAAGTTAGAGGAGTTTTAAAAGAGAAATCGTTAAAAATATAAAATATTCTTCATTGTCTCAAATGACAACGATGTTCCTATTACTAACATCTGTCTGCTGTAGGTTAGAAAACAAAATTCAAGACAAACGTGTTCACGTCACACCTAACAAGATCTGAAGCATAACTCGAACGATAAAAACAAAACGCGTCGCATTGTGTACACGTAAACAAAAACAACCTTTAAATAGCGAAACTTAGTAGTAGTCGTTTCAGGAAGAACACAACAGCTGACAATAGATAACATTTGTTATAAAGTTAATATCACTTAATGTAGTAAGTTCAATAACATACAATGTTAAATAGTTGTCAGGTAAAGTTAACATCACTTAATGTGGTAAGTTTAATAACATACAATGTTAAGTAGTTGTCAGGTAAAGTTAACATCATTTAATGTAGTAAGTTTAATAACATACAATGTTAAATAGTTGTCAGGTAAAGTTAACATCACTTAATGTAGTAAGTTTAATAACATACAATGTTAAATAGTTGTCAGGTAAAGTTAACATCACTTAATGTAGTAAGTTTAATAACATACAATGTTAAGTAGTTGTCAGGTAAAGTAAACATCACTTAATGTAGTAAGTTTAATAACATACAATGTTAAATAGTTGTCAGGTAAAGTTAACATCACTTAATGTTGTAAGTTTAATAAAATACAATGTTAAGTAGTTGTCAGGTGTCAGGTAAAGTTAACATCACTTAATGTAGTAAGTTTAATAACATACAA